TAATGGCTGACATTAGTCTTTGTTAATTTGTTGGATATTGATTTCCTCTAGTGCCAAAGGTAGCTGAGAAGATTAAACAGGTCAGCGAATTCCTAATAAAGCATTAATAGTTTCTTTTATTTGCTGCTTAGAAAATGCCACTGCATAACTACAACATTCTGTCACAAAAAGAACGTTATTTTGCATGGTCATGATTAAAGATACAAAAGGCCCCATCATTGTATAGTCGTTCCCAACAAAGTGTGATACAACTAAATAGTTACAGGTTAGTTTCTATCATGATGGACCCTGTGAACCTAACATGTGTATCCATAAATGCAAGAACAACCATCCACATTTCATAGGTCTTGCACATCCAGCTTTCCCAAAAAACAAGCCACATGGACAAGGGCACACAGCACTAACGCCATGTTAATATTCATTTTTTTAATCCGAAAATTGAAAAGTAAAACCTCACTTGCTTCCCTTATCCGTCAGTATGAATCAAGTGCACGGCACCATGAAATCCGACCATAAAACAGGAGTTGATGGAAGAGGATCAGTGGTGTCTAGATTTGAAATTCAACGGAGTGGCTGTGGCTGAGGGGAAAAACTTAGGTATTCCATAAAATTAAGCCATGTGGATGTAAGCACCTCAATACTAACACCATCTATGAGTGGTACTTTTTTTTCTTTTTCCTTTCTGCAAATTGACAAGTCAAACCTCACCCTCTTCCCATCATCACCATTAAACATGACCATAAAACAGTGGTTGCTATAAGAGGATGAGGACCGTCTAGATGCAAGGTTCAATGGAGTGGTTGGGCCTTAGAGGTTTGCTGTTGTTGTGAAGGGTGAGAGAGAAGGTGAAAAATGAAGGATAAACATCTGATAAAGGGGCTTCAACTTGTTTGGGGACTCCAATATGGGCTGCATGCAAATGGCTGAGAATCCAATATTGTCTTTGCACTATTGGAGATTTCAGATCGTCGTTCCAAAAGGCAGAGTTAACATAATCAACTTTTTTTGTGGTTTGGTCGATTGACCTGACTCTTATTGACCGGCCCACTTGACAGCCATGACTTATGTACTCTTTTGACTAAATCTACTCAAATTTTAGTAATTCTTAGGAGCTATGTTTGGACATTCTGAAACATTTTAGTCACAATCTACTCTTGAGTCCAAGTCGAGGAACTTGTCCCAGTTTGGTCTCGTAATGTTAACCTTGAACGCCTGAACCTGTCATGTTTGATCTTTCTCAGTTGTACCGAGTGTATCTTAAATGTCATGGCTCCATATATTTTCTTTTGATTTTGCCTTTAGTCTTGATGCTAGTTAAGTTTGCAAGTTAACCCATATTGTTGATTTATTTGTTAACGCCATGTGACTTCCTATTTGGAAGTCAGTGTTTAAGGACATGCACGTCGTGAAATTTGCCAATCTACTCGGATGCGCTAGCACCATATATCAAGACACTGAAATTTAAAGTATTTGGGTGTCATCCTTCACCTTAAATTTTTTCTTTTCTTTCTATAATGTATTTCCTTACCACCTCTTGCAGGACATTAATGAAGAATGGATATCAGACAAGACTCGATTTTGTTATGATGGTTTGAAGAGGCAGAGGTTAAATGACCCCATGATTCGTGGTGCTGATGGGCGCTTTCAGCCTGTGAGCTGGCGTGATGCCCTTGCTGTAGTTGCTGAGATGGCTCATCAAGTTAAACCAGAGGAGATTGTTGGGATTGCTGGTCAGCTGTCTGATGCTGAGTCCATGATGGCACTGAAAGACTTCTTAAATAAAATGGGTTCAAACAACGTGTGGTGTGAAGGAAATGGTTCAAATCGTGATGCTGATCTTCGATCTGGATATATTATGAACAGTAGCATTGCTGGCCTTGAGAAAGCGGATGCTTTTCTATTGGTTGGTACCCAGGTATGTTTCTAGGAATTTAATCTTAATGATCTTTATAGTCCAGCTTAAGTGATTTTCACCTGCCTCTTACATGCTCGTATTACATGCTGAAGATGGATGAATGGGTAGTGGCTTAGTGGGTATTTGTTGATGAGTGGATAAAGTGTTTTTTAAATATGGTTTTGTTGAGGAACTCATACTTTCATATTATATTTCCAGCCAAGAGTAGAAGCTGCTATTGTTAATGCTAGAATCCGGAAGACGGTGCAAGCTACCCATGCCAAGGTTGGGTACATTGGCCCTGCGGCTGATTTCAACTATGATCACGAGCATCTTGGCACAGGCCCTCAAACACTGCAAGAAATTGCCGAGCGTCGTCACCCATTTTCCTCAGTCCTCTCAAATGCCAAAAACCCTGCCATCATTATTGGTGCTGGGGTCTTTGAGAGAAAAGACAAGGATGCAATTTTTTCTGCTGTTGAAACCATTGCAAAATATGCTGAAGTTGTAAGGCCTGATTGGAATGGAGTCAATGTACTGCTTCTCAAAGCTGCCCAGGCTGCAGCACTTGACCTTGGACTTGTGCCAGAATCTGAAAACAGCATTGAGTCTGCAAAGTTTGTTTACCTGATGGGAGCTGATGATGTTAACTTGGAGAAGGTTCCAAGCGATGCATTTGTGGTTTATCAAGGGCATCATGGGGACCGGGGTGTGTATCGTGCCAATGTCATCCTTCCTGCAGCAGCATTCAGTGAAAAGGAAGGGACATATGTAAATACAGAAGGGTGCTCTCAGCAAACAGTACCTGCAGTTCCGACTGTTGGTGATGCCAGGGATGACTGGAAGATAATTCGGGCTCTATCTGAGGTTGCAGGTGTGCGGCTGCCATATGATACACTAGGGGCCATCCGATCCCGGATCAAGACAGTAGCACCAAACATTTTGCAAATAGACGAGAGAGAGCCAGCTACATTTTCATTTTCAATTAAGCCGGAGTCCAAGCAAAAGTTGGATTCGACTCCGTTTGGGACTGTCGTTGAGAATTTCTATATGACTGATTCGATCACCAGAGCATCAAAGATAATGGCACAATGCAGTTCAGTGCTGTTGAAGAAGTGACCAGTGGATTTTTGTTATTCTCTAATAAAGTTGCAGATTCACCTGTTTTCTCCTGTTATTTTTATGGGGTTGTGTAAGGCCCTGTTTGGCCAAAGCTTCTGGAACATTGGAAGTACTTCCAATAAATTTATTCTAGGTTTTGTTTCACTGTAATGCAATGTAATAGTTATTTCTGTACAACTGTTGTTTGCAAATATAATTTGGGATTTTTCAATTCATTTGTTGTATATATTCACTGAGTATATGACACCGAAGATTTTTACTCAAATTCGAATGCAACACATGAACCAAATCAGAATGCAAATGAAGAGAAAAATTCTTTATAAATTAGCTGGGTTATATGTTTTCTTGGTTCAAAAGAAGAGTAGTTGTGTTCATATGTTTTCTTGTTTCCCAAGTCAAAGCTCCTCTATATAAAGGGGCTTCTTGTTATGAAGAAGATGCAAGTTGAATAACCAAATCTTGTTACTTTGTTAATTTTTCTGATAATGTTATTTACTCAAACGGTCCTCAAACTTGTACTCGATTTACATTTTGGTCCCTAAATTAAAGTATTTACTCAAATGGTCCATCAACTCTATATTATTTGGTCCATTAGTCCTACCGTTACATTATGTCAATATTTCCAATAAATATGAGAGTAACTTGGTCATTTCGAACGTTAAAAATAAATAAATACTGAAAAATGAAGTAAAAAGCGCCTAAAAAGCTCTCTCTCTCTCTCTCCATTCCCCTGTGACCACCACCCTCAAGCTCCAAACCCCAAACCCATCCCACAACCACCCTCCACCCCAGGCCCCATGAACCCAGAACCCCAGCGCCTCCCCACCCTCCACCCGAGCCAGCAACTATAGAAAAAGAGAAGAAAAAAAATCTTCCACATACCCCCCTCCCAACGAACCCATAACCCCAACTTAACAACCACCCAGACCCTCTACCCCCGATTTCCCTTCATTGTTGAGAGACAACCACCCACCCCTCACCTCCCTACCCAACAACAACCGCTCATCCACGAAAAAATATTCTCAAGACACCCAAAAATTCAGCCACACCTAACCCACCCTCCCAGATTCCACCACAACAGAATCCCCACCCGACAAACCCCTCCCCCCCCTTCCCCCATCTTCCCCCATTCTATTTTCACCCACAAACCCTAAACTCATCATTACAACCAACCTACAGATGCAAATAATGTTCGAATTTTTTATTTTTTGTTTTCCAAGAGAGAGAGAGAGAGAGAGAGAGAGAGAGAGGCTGAGAAAGGAGAGGAGAGGGGGAAAACAGAAGGGGGGAGGGGTATGTGGAGGAATGGGGAAGAAGAAATTGGAGGGAGGGGGCGTTGGGTTTGGGTCTCATGAATTTTTTTCTCTTTTTCTTCAATTTTTTCTAATTTTGTATTTTAACCCTATTTTTATTTGTTAATTATGAAAAGTCATATTTACCCTAAAATTTGGTTAAATCTAACAGAAAATTAGACGGTGGGACCAATAGACCGAATAATATAGAGTTAATGGACTATTTGAACGAATAATTTAGTTTATGGACCAAAATATAAATCATGTACAAATTTGAGGACCATTTGAGTATATAACCCGTTTCTGATACAAAGGATTTCTACTTTAATTTAATCTAAACTATGGGGAGGGGGATTCGAACTCGGTTGCAGAATGAAGAGCACATCGGCTATAGCTAACTTGGTTAAGCCTTGTTGTTAGGTTTGCTACATCATTTGGGTTTTTTGTTTTATGTCAAACAAAACTCCACCAATTCCTCGGTAATTCAGAATGTGTTTGTCTGTCCTGTTTGTGCCATTTGGGTGGCTCTTCTTCTCGTTTGCTCTTGTTGAGCCTTTGCTTATTTACTTAATTTATTTATTCTTGTTTTGGTCTTGGTCATGTATCTTTGTTTGTTTTAATAAGTTTAGTTTTTACAACCATGTATGTACGGTGCTTTGTTCAACAAAACCAAAGGAAGAGAAAACAAAAGGTAACGAGTACAAGAAAATAAAATGAGATAGTAATTATGCAATTCATTCAGACATAAACATAAAGACATGAAAACCTACAAACGGAAACACCCTCCTTCCTATGTCTTGCACTTTCTTATTCAAAAGCCAAACACTACAAAATAAAAAACAAACTATGGGACCAAAAGTTAGCAGCAGCATATGAGATGGCACTGGCAAGCCCCAAACGCCCATGAGGGTTTTGGTACTTCTGTTTATCCTCGGAGAAGAAGAGTGACCCCAAAGGAAATTGTGCACACAATATGCCCCAACAGAGCCAAGAACCCGTACTTCCTGTCATCATCACAAAAACAAAGAGTAAATATAAAATGAATTCCTTAGGCAAATTTTCCATTTCCAAATAGTTCAATTCAACATATTAAGATGGCGGCGCATATATACAATCAAATCTTATTTGATTCTGCTCTCGTTGGAAATTAACAATCTCATGACATAACATGACACATGTTAAGTTCATTCAAAAGTAACAATCTCACAACATAACATAACATGTTCAGTCCGGATTAGCATATCACAACATAACATATATTTGATAAAATATTTGAAAAATGTACTAATTGTAGTATATATTGTTTGATATAAGCGATGTTGGGGATGGGGGAATCGAAACTAGCACCTCGGGTGTAGGGGCAAATGTTATTAACAACTTGAACTACAAGCCTTTTTTTTCACGAATAAGATTGAAAAATGGTACTGAGAAAAATAGCCAGAAAATTATCATATCATGTCATATGCTAGATATGCTAAAAATGATTAAATGAGTAGAAATTGGGAAATGGGTAAGATTGAAAATGGAGAAAGAAGTAGGGCAAACCCGACGGAAAGGCGGTTCTGGGGGTCGCCGGTGGAGTAGCCTTTGAAATAGAAATAGCGGGTGACAGTATAGAGCAGACCAAGGCCAGCTGAGATGCAAGGATGTTTAAGACCTCCCAATAACAGAAGCACAAAGAACAACGGCATCAATTCCAGAGAGTTCTGGTGGCCTCTCTGAACACAATTGAAAACTTTTGCATCTTTGTTGTCAGATTCTGAAGCGTACAGGGTCGGATAAGGCACCTTGTACCTGCCCAACTCATAACAAATTCAATCACAGATTTTAACAGAGATTTCTGGAGATTTAAAAAAAAATAATAATTTAAAGCTTTGCATTTACATACATTTTTCTGGCCTTGCCTACTTTGCCAGCCATCCAGAAATTGAGAAAGGTGTAGAGAACAAGAACAAGGACTACATAGCCGTACTCTCTGGGGAGCAATTCAACTGCGGTGGCCATTTGGTTTTTGGGTATGAACGTGAAATCAGGGAAATTGGGTTTTATGAATTGACTTCTTGTTCTTGACTGACCGACTCTGTTTTTTGTGCGGATATAGATAAGCCTCTTGTTCCCTTCACTTAGGTTTATTTTGGTGGTAATGGGCGCCCACGTTAGCTTTTATACTTGTTTTGCGACTTTTTCTCCAAGGCAGATAGAGTTCAATATTATTTCATCAATCAATATTCAATAATAATATATGTGAGAGTAGGCTTGTGTAACAAGTACATCTTGATTTCTCCAACCATTTTTTTTCCTTGTTTTTTTTATGAGGCGTTTGAGGTTGTATTTGTCCAACCTGCACTTAGAGTTTGACAATTGTTTTCAATTAGTTTACAATGGGTACCACCATAACCGAATTTCCCCTCTAGAGTCTAGATCATTGATCCCGGGAAGGTGCTCCACGCCTGCGTTTTTCATTCGAAAATGGTTCATATTTTATATAATTATTGTAAATTAATTAAAGGGTTATTATTCTATGGAATTGCCGGCAAGGGCCAATTTGAAACACAAAACCCTAGTCAATGGAATAAAGTGGGTTATTTGGACTTTAGCGGGGCAAAATGGGACTTGAACGTAGATTTAAGGAGTGTTACAGTAAATAAGTCTTAATTAAAATATACATTTAAAATAAAATGTTTTTTTAAGGGGCAAAGTCATACACAAAGAATCGATTAAGGGGGTAAAATGAGTCATTTTTATTTTCAGTGGGTATGTAAGATTAGACTATACTTTTAAGGAGCACTAGAGCAACTAAGCCTATAAATTATGGATTGGTGTTCAAATTATTTATATATATAAAAAAATGCTAAGGAGGTATTCATCGGTGGAAATATTGGTCATTTGGTGGTGATGATTTTGTTCACTATTTTTTTTTATTGTTTCTAAATTTTTTTTTTTTCAAGTTGACTTGCAAGCGAATGACCTCATCTCTCTTGCTAGGGGTGCTCCTTGGTATGGTGAAAACCGAATCAACTTAATATCTACCAAAACTTTTTTATTTGGTAACTGCATTTTAGAATCTAAAAATCGAATAATTTGAAACCGAAAAAAAAAATGTGTATTTGTTGTGGTGAAACAAAAAAAAAGATATTGAATTACCGGTTATTACCAAAATATATCGAAGCAGTTATTAAAATATTAGTGAATATAATACAAAACTAAACTACTAATGTTACTAATATTTCTAATGTTTATTGTATATATGTAAAGAGATACAAATACGTATTGCATACAGAATGTATAAACATATTTATTGTGTTATCATACGAGTATCATTAACAGTGTGGGAGCACAAATTCTTCACTATGTACTTTGATCTAGTACTGGTGGGCATGTTTGGAAGGCCTCACTGGACTGGACTGGGTTAAATTGTACTTGAAACCCATGTTTGGTAAGTGAGGGGACTAACTTAAATGAGACTATATTGTCCAACAGTAAAAAAATTGCCTCACTCGCACGTCCAATATAGCGAGCTTGAAACATGGTTCGCAAAATAGCGAGCTCACTAAACAGAACACGCGAGTCCAACGCGATACCAGTTTCTTCTTCTTCTTCACCTAGACACGAGTCTGGGCAATGGACGCCAAGTCCTCCACTTCCGAGCCCAAGTTCATCAAAAAGGCTTGAAACCCAGCAATCGCCTTGAGATCTTGCTGCTGCTAATGGTCGCCGAAGGCCGAGCTTTGGTCGTACATGTGGGTCAGGGACGACGAGGCTTGGGTCTCTATTTGGCTATCAGAATAGCGCACGGTGTCAGCCCTGAGCTTGGAAGGCGACGACCATGGGCCCCAACTTTGGGGGGGTCTCAAATAAAGGCCATGATTCATTGAATTGACGCAAGAGTCGAAGCAGCCATGGCAGATGCAGAGAGTGGAGAAGATGATGGTGAGCTTTGAGATTGAGTTGAATCGTTCATCGTATGAACAAATTGAGTAATGAAAAGTGATTAGGAAGAAAATTAGAGAAAGAATTGATGAAATTTGTGAGAGAATCACAACTGAAGAGTTTTTGGCAGGGAGAAAATTTGAGAAAAAGCAAAAATGAGAGAAGGATCAAAAGTCGTGAGGAAGAAGAAGATAGGAAGAAAGATTAAAAAAAAAAAAAAAAAGACGGGCTGGGAAGAAAAGGAGAAAAAAGAGAAAATAAAGAAATAAAGAAAAGAGATAAGATAATTTAAGCCTTTAAAAATTATTAAAATTTATTTGTTTTTATTATTATTTATTTTTAGGTCAAAATCCTTAATTAAAAGTAAATATCAGATAGTAAAATAAATATTAGAATTTTATTTATTTATAATTCAAATTAATTATTAAAATAATTATTTTTTAGTCCGACACAACACCAAACATAGGTCTTCACTATTTTCACAATCCAGCTTCTTAGTCCGACACAACACCAAACATAGGTCAGTACTTAATCCAGCTTAGTCCAATCCGAGCTAATCCAAGACAGTCCCAGGATTTAGTCCAGTCCATGACAGTCCGCCGTACCAAACGACCCCGTATTACTTTCACTAGTCCCAAATTATATGTACATATTGAGTTACACTACACTCACTAGTCCCAAAATGTAAGTATTAGTTTTGATGTACTAGTTGTGATGCATATATTATATAAGACTTACTAGTACTAATTAGTAGTATTAATGAATAAAAATTCTTATACTACGCAGTTTATAAGAAAAAAAAGTAGTGTTACAAATATGCTTACATGTAGTTCATAAAAATACATACACATATCCAAGTGTACTAAACTATTAATGGTAAGAGAGTTTGTAAATTAGACTCACTAGTTACTCGTAATCAAGGACTGAGATATCGATGATATCGCCGAAATATTGGGGGATATTATCGTTTTTTGGGGAGGAGGATGCTTTGGAACGTATTTGTGTACTTATCGTATGTATAATGATAATATCAGTGGAAATTCGGCGCCAGTATTGTCCTTCAATTATCATGAGCATTTGGTCAATATATCGCGATAATATCGATAATATCGTGATATGGACATGAAATATATATATATAAAAAATAATGAAAAGGCTTATGCACGCGCACAGGCGGATTCGAACTCCTTGCCACTTATACTTTTCCTCCAACCCTTCCCCTACCCTTCATATCCCTTGCCTTTTGGGATGGAATCGAGTTACTCATAGAAAGAATATGAGACTCAATCTTCAAATGATTTTGTTTATGAGCAACGTCAACCAATCTCGGATCCATATAGGTGACATGTTAACAATTACATGCAAAAATATTTTGGGGATTTATCATTTGATGACTACTCTTCACAGTACACGTCGTAACCTACACATCATGTTGAAGTTCTATGAGATGCAATGTAGGTCTCAGTTTCACATCAAAGGAGTTCAAGGATCTCTCCAAGTTATTGTTAAAGCATCATCAATCTTTGAGTTTGAAGTTCTTTCTATTCTCTTTGAGTTTGAAAGTGTACTCCATTTCTTTTAGTACCTATCAACTATTGAAATGTGAGCATGACACTCTGTATGCATACTTTATAGTGTGTGGATTGGGTGTAATAAGTTGGTTCTGTTTTTAATGGTGTATTGCTTGTTAGTTGTGTTTGAGTCTTCTTGTTTCTCTGTCTCTCGTTGTCTAATTAATATACCAAAATCACAAAAATAAAGTTTATAGTATTGATCTAAAATTTAGTCCATCTTCTACATGTTGCATGTCTCATTTGAAAGACAAGTTTCTGCATCACAATACATACTTTCTAACTCTTTTTTTACCTCACAAATGTTCATGCACCAACTGGCAAGCTTGCTCATCAACACCCACAACAGAACGTACATTTAAATTTACGATCAACTACATAGATAGTGAGTTATAGAACAAATAAATCCACCGATTATCTGTATTGTCTTTTTGGTTAAACATGTTTAATTTCCCACAAAAAATTAATTTTACTCTAGCATTTTAGTTGATGTTAAAAAGCGTAAGAAGTTAAAATTTTATGGAATCTACATTATATATGTATATCTAAAATTTTATGGAATCTACATTATATATGTATATCTACCACGGAAATACTATAATGAGGGGTTGTGGGCGAGGGGTTCAATATCACTATCCAATAATATAAAGGAAATTTTGAACTTAAACTTTTTTAATGATTGGATGGTTGGATGGTTGGATGGTTGGATTGAACCCCTCACTCAAAACCCCACACTCACATCTCCCTCATTGTAGCAGCTCCCATATCTACCATATCATGCTTGGACTTTAAATTCCAAAATTTATAATCTCAATTTTGTTATATGATTTTGGATTGTTATTGAGGATTTTGCGTCCTTGTTTGTAATAGAGATGGCATCGAATCAGCACAAAATCAGCAACTCCAATCTCTGTGATTTAGTTTCCCTTTATTGTGATATTGTAATCCCATGATATTCCAACAGTATAGCCGCTCGGCTATAATCCAAAATAGAAGATCTAAACAGTATAGCCGCGCGGCTATATGCTATAAATATAACATTTTAAAAGTACAGCCGCAAGGTAATACGCCATTAAAAAAATATCGTAAACATATAGCCGCGCGGCTAAACTCCAAAATTATAATATCGTAAAAGTATAGCCGGTCGGCTATACGCGGCTATACTCTTTAGAAGATCTTTAAAAAAATACAGAAAACCAAAAAACATATTAAAACAAAGGGGACCAGAAAGACATGTAGCATTTGAAGATTTGTAAATTAAACATAGATCACGATTCAGAAAACCTAGGTAGCCCATTATCAGATTATTTTCACTTAGAGACGAGGGCACTAATGCAATTTTGTTTATTTAATATGTTCATTCGTAAACTTGACAAACTAATTTCCAGTCTCAACAGATTCCAAATTTTAGAGGAGGCAACATAATCCCTATGTGAGAATTGTAAGCACTTCAATCTTTGAGACAAATTTCTTGTTTTGGGTTTACAAATTCAAGTGAAGTAAGCATTCAATCGTCAATATAATTGAGTGTGCTTGATTACAGAGCATGGAAAAGACCAATTGACAGTGCTCAAGAGATGTAATGAGGCTAAAGAATAAATTTTTGTCATATAATCATTAAATTTGTTCACTAAAAGATGTGTCATCGTTATGT